ACTCCAGAGACTCTTTCAATAAATAAGCAAGCTGTGAATAGCTTGACACATCTTCAATTAATTCGCTGAACCACATCTGTTGTAAATCTTGTTGCAACAACACTGCAACATAGCTGTTACGGCCAACTTTGCCAAAACCAGACGAATCAATCTTCTTTTAATTCTGAAATCTTCCCAAAACTGATATATGATCCTGGACACGTTCTTAGGAGGCAGAGAAAGATCATCCAGCTATGAAATCTCAATCAAGAATCAATCAAATCAATTTTCCATCTTTGAATCAATAGTTGACTTAGAAAAATAGAAACTAAAACAAGTTTCTGGATATTTTGAAACATGCCAAAGGAAACTTGCCAGCTGCAAAGACATTTCTAAACGCAATCATCCCAGCAAAACATTCCTAAAATAATGCCAATCAAATCCGATTACAATCAATACACAAATTGGGAAACAAATCCCAACAATCTCCCCCTTTGGCATTGTTTTGGCAAAACTAATAATAGCAACTAAAACACAATACTTTTTGCACCAATCAAGTTTCCAGACTACTAGAGTCGTATCCAAACCCAGCATTTTACGGCTGAAAAGACGTATATATATTTAGATTAATTACAAAAATTCTTTCTGAACTATATTCCTTGTAACACTTTATCACCTGACTTTTTAAACGTAGCATTTGTTCCCCTTAAATGATAAAACGTTAATAAAATTACCCCCTCCATTAAGAAATCTATAGTTTGTATAAGTGTCACATTTCTAATGGCTGTTGTTAAACAATTTTAAGCACAATTACTATTTTACCCACATACTCTAATTAGTTTATTCTAATTTATATGTAATATGGTAAAATAAAAAAGTTGAGAATTTTAACTTATATTCAATTAATAATGATGGATGTTTTATAATTAAAAGTTTAAATTTAAATTAATTTTAATTTTAAATTAAACATTAAATATAGAGTTGCGAAAATACCCTCAAATAACAAATTAAATGTTAATTTTCGTTAAAACCTAACTGAGGAGGAATTTTTTGTTAATATTTCATTGTTTAAGGAGAATAGTTTTAATATTTTAAAGATCAACTGGTAAAGTGTTAGAAGGGGTATAATTCAAGAGAAATTTTTATAATTAATCCTTTATAAGTTTATTGCGGAATCCAGGTCTTGAAAAAGGAAATAGTACACCTAATACAATTTATTTTCAGTGCCCAAAAAAAAGAAAAAGAGAAAGAGATATAGAGCAGTACAATCTATTTTGAATTTTAGTTTTATGGGATTAATTTTAAATTGGTCCTTTAAAGAGTAGGAATTGTCTCATATTATTTTTTTACTTTTCAAAATTTCACAAAACTTCTCTAAGCTTATTATAAGTTACACTTGTGATACTTTTATCATTTATATGTCATTTTTTTTTATCTATTTTAATCACATGTGAGTCACATATTTGCTTAACAGAATAACTTTAATTGTTCAATTTTTTAGATTGAAGACTAATTGTAGAGCATTTTGAATGTCAACGGACTCAAATGAGATGTGCTCGATCAAACCCTTCAAAGTTTAATTTTCTTAAATTCTTTTTAGTAAAACTAATTAATTGAAATAGCAAAAGACACCTTTTGTGTCCTAAATAAGCCTTTTTTTAAATTTATAAATACCTCTTAAACTTTACGCGTTTGACAATTTAATCTTAAACTTTAAATTTAACAATCGACCACTTAAAGTTAAAATTTGTTGCATGGCAGCTCCAATTCATTACACCATCAAATAGAGTCGACGGAATGGTCACGTGCTCCCACGTGTACAGCTTATTAGAAACCATATTAAATTAATAAACCCAATGATATATCTATTAACCTAAACAGAAAAAAATGCCGTTTTCCATAGCAGATTTCTCCCATCCAATAAATTGATGATAAAAAACCTAAGAAAAAGGACAAAAATAATATTTTGGAGCCATTGAAGAAGCATAGACATGGTAGAAGTGAAAAAAATGGGTTTTGAAGAGTAATTGAAAGAAAGAAAGGACTGGTTTTATTGCTAACATTATTATTTAGAAAAATTAAGAGAAATATTCATAAAGAATAAGAAGTTGGAAGAGAATAATTAAGAGAAATATTCATAAATGAAGGGTGACTTCTCCGTCGCGGACCACAACTGGGGAAGGCCATCCTTCGTCGACAAGAGAGATTTTTTTTTTCAACCATTTTTTTTTCTATTTTCGAATTTTTTTAAACTTTATATTTTGTTTTGATTAATATATATTATCTTATTGGTTAAATTTCAATTTGGCTTCTCATAATATTGTATGCACGTGAGCATTCCGTTTACTTTTCTTACGGTATTATTAGTTGGATTAATAATGCAAAAAATTCAAAACTTTAAGGAGTGAAATTGTCAAGATTTGAAATTCAGAGATTAAATTGCCAAACGGATAAAGTTCAGGAAGTATTAGTGCAAAAATAACCCCTAAATAATGGACGGTTAGAAATTAAATGAGATATGCCTCAAGTGGATCAGTTGAATGATTATATCTTTTTAAAACTAATATTAATTAAAATTTTCTCGCCACAAATTACGTTCGATATCTTCTCACTATTCAAATATATAAACATATTTTTTAAATTACCCTACTACAATGCACTCATTAATTAAAAAAAAAAAGAAAAAAGAAAAGCCTCAAACTTTTGCATGCATGTAGTAACGAAAAAGCATAAGAAGCACTACGATCTGTATATACATTCCTTTCTTTTCTTCATCAGATTAGTTGCTTATGAGAATCTCCAAATCAAAATACATCCTGTGCACAAGTGCCTTCTTGGAGAGCCAATTCATCATCTTCAGACTCTAAAACTATTCCATTCCTCATAGATAAGCCAGATTTTCTCACAAATCCGAACTTTCAAATTAGTTTTAATTAATTATTAACTTTATTGGAGCTTAGAATTATAAGCCTATGAGTTCCTGTGTCGTCTTTGTAATTTTACAATACATTAAGAAAAAAATGGAAATTTTTAAAATTATAGAATTCTAAAATAAAACGCACAAGGATAATTAATTGAGAATTGATTATTAATTAAATAATGTGATTATTTAAGTTTAAATTTGAATTTTAGAAGACACATTTAAAGGTGTTCACATAGTCTGAACGCCCAACACAGTGTGAATCTCTTTGAGATTCAGTTGTTTGCTCTCCAAGTTATCTAATTGACTTATTTGATAAGTTATCAGATTAATTTGAAATTCAAATTGATTTAAGTTTGACTTAAATTGGAATTTAAATTGATTTAAGTTTGACTTAAATTGAAATTCAAATTGATTTAAGTTTGATTTAAATTAAAATTAAAGGACAGGCCAAAATTAACTACTCTGGACCGGGATCGGACCGACATGTTGGGGAGTGACCACACTGTCTTTTACATTGTTACATGAAACTACTCTGGAGCCTTTTGAAGCTCCTTACATGATAGAACTATGGACTCCAATCCTGCTGTTGTCAGCAGGGAGCGGCCATCTAATGATATCAGCTTCACCCTCCTAAGAAAACAAAAGAAAGTTTAAAAGAAAGCTCTACCAAATTCGAAAAACAAAAAATATCAATCTTATTTCTGGACATTCCACAAACACTTCAATCACAGCAAGCTATTGTAATTGTAAAATACAATCTTGAAATCGCATGTGGGTTTAATTTCACAAGGCTAATCCACACAGCTAATGATAAATGAAAAATGGAGATCAATACCCACTTCACCAATTATTCTGCGATGAACTTTAATCTTAACTGCTTTAAACTTTAACATGAAAAATAAATTAAGAACCAAAAAAAGGACTAAGACAAGGACTAAATTCCTGTACCTAGAGATAGTGGCGATGCTCAAAACAACATTTATTTATTGCATCTGTCTTGTAGCCTGATATACACTGGTTCTTATATGGCCAAAATCAGTTTGCATTTCTCTCCAATATATACATGGAAAACAGAACAAAGCTATCTAAAATTGCCAATTATTCACACTAGAAGATCAAAATCATCACAAGGGAAAAAAAAATAAAAATAATAAAAAATAAAACCCACAACAGAATAAGGAAGAGGGAATCCTGAATTGCCGCAATCATCAGACAAAAGGAGATTAAACATCCTCAAAATATAACTTTCCATCAACAAAAAGACCTAACATTTGGAAAATCACATTTGAAAAAAATCATATACCAGATAAGTTTAGACTCATAAAGTACTGATAATCTGGGTTTGACTAAAAATTTTAGTTATGTCAAAAGCTCTAATATCCCAGACTAAAACCATAAATAGCACTATGTTGAACAACAATGGGGCGGTTTACCAGTTTCTCTAAAGCCATGATTTCCCCAATCAAAGCTTTTGTCCTATTTTCTCGGGAAACAAATGAGAAGTGAAGGGATAAGAAAAGAGTAGCAGATTGGAGGAGAATCGTGAATTCGTGGCTTTTGTTTATGAAATTTATTTTCAAAATAATTTTGAAAACAAGGATATTTTGTTTTTGAAATTTAAATAATTTTGATAACAATTCAAAAATATAAGAAGCATAAATAGAGTCAACGAACATGTTTTGTGGAGTTCTTTTCCTTTTTTATTTAAAAAACAAAAAAAAAATTGTTTAAAAAAGACTAATTAATTAAAATGACAAAATAATAATTAATTAATAATATATTTCCATTCTTAAAAATAATAATAATAATAATAATTAATGAATCACTTATTTTTCCGTCTATGTATTTTCAGAATAAATATAAGTGAAAGGGTAAGGAGCCAAGTTTCCTAATTTCCATGCAGCAAAATCAATAGCGCCAATTTTTTTTTTTTTTTTTTTTTTTAAAGGGCAAATTGATTGACTTGAGAGTAAAGTTTTCTCCACTTAATCTCCTTATACCCACCTGCCCTAACCTCCTTTCTCTCTCTAGTTCATCAGTTTCTCTCTCTACTTCGACTGTTTCTCTGTTGCCCTAACCCGATAGGATTATTGTTTCAATGGGGAAGAATAAGAGTTGGTCAATCACAGAGAAAGGTTTTTCCTCTAATGGCATGGACGTTTTAGCCTATGTCTGTGCTTATGCTCTCGACCGAGAACTGCATTACAAGAATAAAGAACCCTACCAAGTTCCGTACTTGGTTGATTCTCTGAAATACACAGATCCTGTTCTCAATATTCCTAAGAAAATGCGAAACTCCGATGGCCGGCGCCGCCGCCGTTCCCCACTGAAACAACCACAACATGATCGGCAAGATCAGACGTTGGCCATGATCACCACCGATGATCATCGCGATCTCTCAGTCTCAGATCTTCAGTCCAAGAAACGCCTTCGTTTTGACGATTTTCATGTTCATGAAGATTATCAGAAATCAAGAATATTATCAGAACAGCGCTGTCTCGAAGTTGGTGAAGATTATTACGAGGGAAAAAGACGGATGACCAAGAAGTCCGCCAAGTGCAATGCTTCTGGATTGAAACGCCGTCGTTCGAAAGTTGAGGAAGATTACGAGGAAAAGGTACAGAGCATGAACTGCGACACTAGTACTGGCCGCATTTGTCTTGAGTACTTCTCCCTTCTTCCGCTGAAGAAACTCCGTCTTTTCGACGAAGAAGATGATCATGATAATCGGAAAATCATACAGAGCAGCAATGATGCTAAAAACGAAAAGAAAAAGAAGGCGAAGAAGACGACCAATAATGATCAGAGGAGGAGCAACATTATTAATGGTTCTTCGAAAAGAAAAAAGGTGATAGTGGCTGGACCAAACCCGGCACCAGAGATCTCAACCGCTTTGAAGGAGAAGATTGTTAGAGAATTCGGTGAATATTCGGATTTCAGGCTTCTTATTCAGAAGAGTCTTTACAAGACTGATCTGACGCCGGGTAACAACCGGCTTTCGATACCGCTCGGTAGTATCGCCGGGGACGATTTCCTGACAGACGAGGAGAAGAGGAAATTGGAGAGCAGAAAGGAGGATGACAGCAAACATTTAGAGGGCATACAAATTGATTTTTTTGAGCCAAATTTGGAGTTTAAAAAGTCGAATATGACGTTGAAAAAATGGGACTACGCTAGTTCAAGTTCCTACATGTTGTCGGGGCATTGGAACAACGTTGTTGAAAGGAATGGGCTCAAGGAGGAAGATATTGTGCAGATTTGGTTCTTCAGAAGAAGAGAGGGAAACAATCCGTCCATCGCACTCGTCAATCTCTCCCAGCGAAACGTTTCTTCATCTTCTTTTTCTTCTACTACTGAGCCAAGAAGCGATCTTACTGAGTAACTCAGATTCTCTTTGTCCTTTTTTTTCTTGGATTCAGCCTTTCAGGCAAGCCAAACAGATAATTTTGCACGGTGGTTAATTAATTAATCTTTAATTTATTATTTTTCTAGCTTTTTCCTTTTTTTTTAATTTCTCCATTTGTAAATATAATTTTGATTAGTTTATTTGGCACTTTTCATCAATGAAGTTTATTAGTTTTTTCAAGGGAGAACGAGGAAAATAGGTCATGACTTGAGATGAATTAAAATTAATAGGCCAATAGTTTACATAAGTTAATAAATATGTCAAATTACTGTTTTCGTCCATAACTTATCTGGTTATGAACTATAACTTGACAAGTTATTCACAGTTTTTATCCATAACTTGTCTGGCTATGAACCATAACTTGACAAGTTTGTCCATAACTTATTTAGTTATGAACCATAACTTGACAAGTTATGACCTATTAATTTCTATAAGTAAAAATTTGCCTATATACTTTCTTAAGGTTTTCATATTGGCATATTTTCTACTATTTCTCTTTTTTCAATATGGCGTTTTTCCATTTTTTTTTTTTTTTACGTTCCTTATTGTTCCTAAGTTTTAGTGATTTTGTAGTAACAGAGCATTTCTTAACTAGACCACCTGAATAATATCCACTCATTTCGCAGTATCCATATTAACAGCAACCATTTTCCCTCATTTGTCATTCTTAGGATCTGTATTAGGTTTTTGGGCGCAAAAAAAGAAGAAGTATGAAAGTGCAAATTAGCAGAAAAAAGAAAGAAAAGATATAAATGTATATATTGCTTATGATAGGCATTTTAACTTGAGAAAAATCAAAAGGAAACAAAAATAAATTCTATTACTTAATTTTCTTCATATTTAGATGTTTGATTAATGACATTTATAATTAGTTGTTTGATTTATATCGCTAGCTGTTTGATTAATGACATATATGAGTCTTTCATCAATGAAATTGATCATTAGTTGTTTCAGTTTGGCAATTCCGGCCTGTCTTTTTAGTGTTCCTGCTTATTCCAAAGTGTTGGTGATTTTGCAATAACTGAGGACTGCAATAACATTATTTTTTATTTTGCTTTTGACGGGCATTGTAAATAAATAATTAAAAAGAAAGAAAAATAATCACTAACTTTATTATTACTAATCACTCTCTTCGTGCATGGATGTTGAAAAAATTTAGAGAAAAAAAATAATAATGGTACATTAACTTTTACAATCTCTCTACTCCTCTCTCCTTCACTCTACTTTCCTTTTCTCTCATCACTTTCTCGAAAGTGAAAAACGTTTACAAAAAAATAATAATAATAAAAAAAGAAAAAAAAAAGAAAAAAAAAGAAAGAGGAAACCTTCCTGTCTTGACTCCCGAGAAATAAGCCTATAAACATTATTTCCTTTTATATATTGTACATAAAATTACTGTTCAAGGCAATTCCGCAAAACGTAAAAAGAAATATTTTTTTTTCTTTTTCTAACTACCGATTAATTTACGGTATCCTTGCAAGCGCCCTCTCCACAGGGATCAAATAAATCTCGAATTCATAGTATTTATATTAGTGTCCAACTAATCATTTTATGATAAGCATAAAAAAATTAATAAAAATAATAATTAAAATTTTTTAACACGACGTGACATAATATAATTA